GTGTGTGTGTGTGTGTGTGTGTGTGTGTGTGTGTGTGTGGAGGGAACGTAAGAAAAAGAATGTATATTTTTGAAAAATTTTACCTTCGGACATGCAATGACCCATAAACTGTTTATATGTCTTTAAGCAAACAAATTAATCAATCAATCGGGCCTGCAAAAACAAAAAAAAAAACAAAAAGAAAAAACTGTTTTTCTGTATACTTCCCCGATTCCCTCAGCAATGTTTATTGCTTTAAAAAGCCATCTTTAAAATTTTGTATATATAAATGTTGCACAGTATTGTTTATTTACAAGATTAATTTTATTTACAAGATTATAAAAATATGCGCGCCAAATACAAGGCAATATTTATTATTTACCATTTTATCAAGAAATACAGAAATAAATCTTCTTTATTTAAAAATGTCTGTGAACAATGAAACAAGAAAATTTAAATAGATTTTCCGGACCATATACACTTTGTTCTTACATCATTTTATCTCTCGGATACTTTCTTGTTTTAATTTTCCGATTTAATTGTTTTTTGGGGGTTTGGGGTTTTTTTTGGATTTTTTTTTTTTTTTTGTATAACAGTAAAACAGTATGGCTTCATTTTTTTCTGTTATATTCAAGTATATTCGACTGTCATAATGCTTGAATTTAACAAGTAAAAAAACATAAACTCTGGACAAATTATTCGTAACTTCAATCCCGGTCTCTAATGCCGCATTCGGAAATTGGAAAGATATCATAAAAAAGTTGAATAGACAGAAAACCTTGTCGGTGGAATTTAATAAAACTTGTTTGAATGATATATTAACTCCCTCTTCCCAAATTCTTGATAGGAAACCGACCACTAACACCCAATCTCTAAGCCCTATCCATACCCAGATCCCTTTCTCTGACCTTCCCTCCCGACTACCAAGCTAAATATCCGTCCGGTGGATTTTCTCCTTTTGTGTAGCGGTCTGTCGTTCTGATGAGATGAACATTTCGGTGTTCATGAAATAAAAATTATAAACGAAATGGATAATTAAAGTCTCCGCCTTCGTATTATCATAATGCTCTGTAGTCTACATTGAGCTCTCTCTGGATTTATATCCTCCTCGGAATAATCCCTTCCAGTCACAAACTCGTAAAACACACACACACACACACACACACACACACACACACACACACACACACACACATATATATATATATATATATAACATTGAAGTCAACACTTAGAGGTGACAGTCTGTTTCATGCTAGATGCAATCGTCAGGCCATGACGATTGAGTCTAGCATGAAACAGACTGTCGCCTCTAAGTGTTGACTTCCATGTTCACTTTTATATTTACACACGCTCTATCTCTGATATTGAGCACTTTATCCCATAAATATAGCACACTTTGAGATTCTATTTCTTCATATATGTGTGTGTGTCTCTCTCTCTCTCTCTCTGTGTGTGTGTGTGTGTGTGTGTGTGTGCTAGCCGAGATATGCGGTATTGCCCGGGTGTACATGGCTGCAATTGTATAACCGTACCCCCTGTATACCCTACCCCCCTGTCTGACTGCGTCCCAACTTGCATGCATCATCTGTTGGTATACTAAGCTACTCCTCACTCTTCTTCGCAAGTTTTTGATTTTTCTTAATAAAGGAATTCCATCGATAAAACCTTCTTGTGTGGTCGTTGCTTGGGGTTAAATTGTTTCAATGTTTTAGATATTCAATAAATTTCTCATGGCCGTTACTGTTTTCAAATAGTATGGCATTGTTCACAAATGTAATAATTAGACAAAAACAGGTATGAAACGTCAGAGTTTGATTCAACTGCAAGTGCAAACGCATGATCGCTCCTCCTTCTTTGCACGTTTACTGTAAAACTGGGATTAATAAGAGATTCTTCAAGAATTTTTCCCTTTTAACGCTTCAATAATCCTTGTCAAACAATCTTTGCATCAAAGGTTGTTCTAATGCCAATTTAGGATTGAATCATATGAAGAAACTATTGGTTAAATGGTAAAAGCCGATTTAGGACCTAGTTTATCGCAGATTTCGTCCACTTAACTGAAATAATCTAGACCAAACATTCAAGCAAGACAATTTATGTGTCATATGTAATTGGTAAGACAAATTTGAAAAGCATCGGATGAAAAACCAGGAAGTTATGGCCGAACAACTGGCTTTTTGAACAGTTTTTCGTGGTTTTTCGTTATACCTGGGAAAGCGAGCAGGAATAAAACCACACTATCTTATTTCTTGCGTGGTGGCTAATTTTTTGCGACATGTTTGAAGAAAATCTGAATAAGAATGAGGAAGTTATTTAAGTCTTATTTTAAGTATTACGAAAAACCTGATTTTATAATAGTTTTTTGCAATTTTTTTGTGTGAAGACAATGTCACAGGGGAACTATCAAGCATTCTGCATAACCTTTGTAACATAAGCTATGCTTTGCATTAAGTCCAAAGAACATCAGCTCATCCAGTAAAAATTGTGTTCGCGTATAACTTTCCCTTGCTTTCTGCAAAAAGTCGTACCCACCTTCAGTTTTATTGATTTTTCTGCAAAACCCGGGGTTAGTACCTGGACATTGAAAAGCTGGTCTTGACCTAGCTTGATCAATTTGCAATATGTGTGTACAATTTCACCGAAATCGATCGAGAAATGTGTACGTGCCTAAATAGCATACAGGTAGATAGATAGATAAATAGATAGTGTTTCTCACCGTATAAGGCGGATATTTAAAAAAAAAAAAAAAAAAACGAGCCACATGTCTTAAATCACTCAAAAAGCCCGCATACCTTTTATTGTTATGTTCATTAAGTTCTGGGTCAGAGGTTACTCTTAAAAGCCCAACATCAAACGAAACACCCGTACCTGCCTATCATGTTCCCGGTTCAATTCCAAATATCAAGTCAAAATCATGTAAAAATTTCTGTGAATTATAGAACAAGAAAAAAACAAATAAGTTTATAATTTTTCCGAAAATTATAGATTTTCGTTTCAGATTATTTTGAATTTTACATTACTTCTGCTTTTAATTCCCAATCTTTTTTTATAGTGACGAAATAGTATTGTTTATGTTTTTCTGTTATATTCAATGTTATCTTCAATAAGCGTTATATTCAATAAGTGCTATATTGAATAAGTGTTATATGGAATAAGTGTTATATTCAGTAAGCATTATATTCAATAAGCGTTATATTCAATAAACGTTATATTTAATAAATGTTATATTCAATAAATGTTATATTCAATAAGCGTGATATTCAATAAATGTTATATTCAATAAGCGTTATATTCAATAAGCGTTATATCAAATAAGCTTTATATTCAATAAGTGTTATATTCAATAAGCGTTATATTCAATAAGAGTTATATTCAATAAGCCTTATATCCAATAAGCTTTATATTCAATAAGCTTTATATTCAATAAGCATGATATTCAATAAGTGTTATATTTAATAAGCGTTATATCCAATAAACTTTATATTCAATAAGCGTTATATTCAACAAGTTTTATATTCAATAAGCTTTATATTCAATAAGCGTTACATTCAATAGGCGTTATATGGCTCAGACAAGTTCTATAATTTTATAAAAAATATTCCTGCCCTCAGTATAGGTCAGTACTTATTGTATATATTATTGTACCCCGGTGCATTTTATATAGTGGGTGTGGTGGATAAAATGTGTTGTCGATCATTTTACTATAAATATGCAATTTTTGTATGAAAATATATTGCTGGTATTTTACTATAAAGATTTTTATATTTAGTATTTTGTAGTGCTTTGATTTGGCATTTACTATTTACCCATAGATGGGACCCTAATAGGTGCCATTACCCCGGGTCAGGTTGGACCTAGGAACAACAGAAATTAAGAGGTGGTTACACGCGCCACACAACCTCCCATTTCCCAATCAGAGGCCTTGCTACTAGATGTTGTTTATCGTCATAACCAGGACCATATATATATATATATATATATATATATATATATATATATATATAATTAATATACAAATCTTTTTTACAACATTTCGAGTAGACATTTTTCGGCCAAAATACCCTATTCCCCTAATGAAGTAAAAGGATTTGTTTGATTATTAATTATATATATATATATATATATATATATATATATATATATATATATTGCGCTGTATAAACCACCTGAAGAAGGCCGGAGCGTACAACGGCCGAAACGTTGTGATAAATATGGTGACAAAGATGAGGACAATAGTCCGAATAATGTAAAAAATGTGCATTGTATAAATAAAATACATCGAGCACATTTTTGTGGATCAGTTCTAACATATTTATATTACTACGATCCACTTGGATTATATAGCAACGTATTTTTTTTTTTTTTAACTATATATATATATATATATATATATATATATATATATATATATATATATATATTCATTTATTTATTTATATATATATATATACATATTCAACAGGTTTGGTAAAATAATATCGACAAGTTCAAATTTTTTATTAGATTTATCAAATGTCATAAAATTTTATTAGATTTATCAAATTTCATAATTAGTTGTTTTATATTATCAGTAAATGTTAAAGTTCATTTTTATTTTATATTATTTTAAACATTTCATATTTATTTTTAAAACATTGTGAATTTACTTTTATCTGAAGCATATATAGTGTAAATATTTCGTTTTAGAATTGAAAAAATGTAATATTTGCACTCAATGTAGCTTCCTCTGCGGTTGATTGAACATAGGATTTTAAAAAATCAGAGACAACTAGCATTTAATTGGAATTATATTTCAATTAAATAGTTAATTGTTATCTATGTATATATATATATATATATATATATATATATATATATATATGTGTGTGTGTGTGTGTGTGTTTTGTGTGCATTATACATATACATCTATCTATCTCTATATATATTTATATATATATATATTAATATAGATAGATGGATTGATAGAGAGAAAAGAGACTGAAATAGATAAATAGTAAGAGAGAGAAAGACTAATAAACTGAAACAGAAAGAAAGAAATGTTAGGGAGTGAAAGAGTAAAAAGCTGAAACAGACAGAGATAGAAAATAATGTGAGAGAGAGAAAGCGTAATAAACTGATAGATAGATAGATAGATAGATAGATAGATAGATAGATAGATAGAAATGTAAGAGAGAGAAAGAGTAATAAACTGATAGATAGATAGATAGATAGATAGATAGATAGATAGAAATTTAAGAGAGAGAAAGAGTAATAAACTGATAGATAGATAGATAGATAGATAGATAGAAATGTAAGAGAGAGAAAGAGTAATAAACTGATAGATAGATAGATAGATATAGATAGATAGATAGATAGATAGATAGAAATGTAAGAGAGAGAAAGAGTAATAAACTGATAGATAGATAGATAGATAGATAGATAGATAGATAGATAGAAATGTAAGAGAGAGAAAGAGTAATAAACTGATAGATAGATAGATAGATAGATAGATAGATAGATATAGATAGAAATGTAAGAGAGAGAAAGAGTAATAAACTGATAGATAGATAGATAGATAGATAGATAGAAATGTAAGAGAGAAAAGAGTAATAAACTGATAGATAGATAGATAGATAGATAGATAGATAGATAGATAGAAATGTAAGAGAGAAAAGAGTAATAAACTGATAGATAGATAGATAGATAGATAGATAGATAGATAGAAATGTAAGAGAGAGAAAGAGTAATAAACTGATAGATAGATAGATAGATAGATAGAAATGTAAGAGAGAGAAAGAGTAATAAACTGATAGATAGATAGATAGATAGATAGATAGATAGATAGAAATGTAAGAGAGAGAAAGAGTAATAAACTGATAGATAGATAGATAGATAGATAGATAGAAATGTAAGAGAGAGAAAGAGTAATAAACTGATAGATAGATAGATAGATAGATAGATAGATAGATAGATAGAAATGTAAGAGAGAGAAAGAGTAATAAACTGATAGATAGATAGATAGAAATGTAAGAGAGAGAAAGAGTAATAAACTGATAGATAGATAGATAGATAGATAGATAGATAGAAATGTAAGAGAGAGAAAGAGTAATAAACTGAGAGATAGATAGATAGATAGATATGTAAGAGAGAGAAAGAGTAATAAACTGATAGATAGATAGATAGATAGATAGATAGATAGAAATGTAAGAGAGAGAAAGAGTAATAAACTGATAGATAGATAGATAGATAGATAGATAGATAGATAGATAGATAGAAATGTAAGAGAGAGAAAGAGTAATAAACTGATAGATAGATAGATAGATAGATAGATAGATAGATAGATAGAAATGTAAGAGAGAGAAAGAGTAATAAACTGATAGATAGATAGATAGATAGATAGATAGATAGATAGATAGAAAAATGTAAGAGAGAGAAAGAGTAATAAACTGATAGATAGATAGATAGATAGATAGATAGATAGATAGATAGAAATGTAAGAGAGAGAAAAGAGTAATAAACTGATAGATAGATAGATAGATAGATAGAAATGTAAGAGAGAGAAAGAGTAATAAACTGATAGATAGATAGATAGATAGATAGATAGATAGATAGATAGAAATGTAAGAGAGAGAAAGAGTAATAAACTGATAGATAGATAGATAGATAGATAGATAGATAGATAGATAGATAGATAGAAATGTAAGAGAGAGAAAGAGTAATAAACTGATAGATAGATAGATAGATAGATAGATAGATAGAAATGTAAGAGAGAGAAAGAGTAATAAACTGATAGATAGATAGATAGATAGATAGATAGATAGATAGATAGATAGAAATGTAAGAGAGAGAAAGAGTAATAAACTGATAGATAGATAGATAGATAGATAGATAGAAATGTAAGAGAGAGAAAGAGTAATAAACTGATAGATAGATAGATAGATAGATAGATAGATAGAAATGTAAGAGAGAGAAAGAGTAATAAACTGAAACATAGATAGATAGATAGATAGATAGATAGATAGATAGATAGATAGATAGATAGATAATGAACAGAGATAAATTTATTTAGACAATTGGTGTTGTTCACCTGAGCGAGGTCTAATGTTTCTCACTCAGTACAGACACATCCGTTTCCATTATTCATGAAGGAAAGTAGACGGCTATACAGCCGACAACGCTCAGGTTCAGTGGGTTCAAGGCACACTGCCATCTGACCAAATGCGTTTGCCTTTGGTGAAGTTAATATATGCAACTGGAGGTGCAACTGTGCGCAATTAGGAGTCTGCCGTAGACGAATTAAAAACTTCAGCTTGCTCTGTGTCTATTTCACGTCGTGATTAACAGCCATTGAGCTACGCATGAATTCCCTTCATCCTGTTCGATTAGCTTACAAAACGCCTTATCACTGTCATTCCATGAACGACGACGGAAAAATACGAGTGGATGATTTTCTAGGCAAACCACTTTCCCATACCTACCTTAAAAGTAGAAGTAAATGAGAATTTTTCTTCAGCCCATAAATAGAAAGGCTGATATTTTTTATGGTTTATCAACTTGTTACTGGTTATTTAAAGCCAGTAAATATTTTTAAATTGTAAAAATAATAATGATTTACTTATACAAGTCCGATTAATTAACACATTGATTGGGGAAGTAGAGGTGGATTCATCCCTATCCCAAGGGTACATGCGCGTAACTGAATATAGTGAACCCGACTGGAATTCGAACTCCGATTTACAATTCCGAGCCGTTATGCATTACAGAACCCGCATATCCAAGCTTACAGCATTTAGTATTCCCAATCGGCCACTTTTCTCGATATGTTGCTTAACTTCGGAATTTCGGTGATCGTATGAGAACCGATGATTCAACGTGATATGGCCATAAGCTATATATATATACAGTATTTACATTAGTCGGACTATTGTCCTCATCTTTGTCGCCATATTTGTCGGAGTTGTACGCTCCGGCCTTCTTCAGGTGGTTGGAATTTCGAACTGAACCCTTTATTTCGATCACTGGGGTAGACTGTTCTAGTTCCATATATATATATATATATATATATATATATATATATATATATATATATATATTCGACGTGCTTGTATATTTATATATTCTAACAGCTCAACTACCATTCCCTCATACGTCATATGCGGGGAATCCCTTCACATATATATATATTTATATGTATATATAAATAAAAAGAAAGAACAGTAAGATATATTCGCTTGAGGATGAAATGGAACTAATGTCTTTAATTTAATTACAAAATTAAATTCGTAGCTTTTAGCTTCCTTTTTTGAAACATGATTAGAACTGTGTAGCGAAAAAAAACATATTTCAAATAAATCAATTTATAATATATATATATATATATATATATATATATATATATATATATGGTGTAACAAAAATACTCACTACAAACTCTGGTGAGCAGATTGCTCACACCAAAACAAAGACAAAAGTACATATAAATATATGTTCGCAAATCCTTAGTTTTGGGTTTATTAAGTTCAAAGAAAATTTATTGTAGATGGTGGTGTGTCGCCATACAGACAAGATTACATTTGTCCCTCGTGTACGTTTGTGGCTTGTCTGTTATTAACATTTAACGTGTTTAGTAGTGCGATAGCTGGGAAGTGTTCCGTTCAACAATGGTAGGATATTCATATCGTGAGCAGGCAGATATGATTTTTTACATACGGCCGCACGAATGGTAAGGGACGCGAGGCTGCACGGCTGTATCAGATTGCGTTTCCAGACCGAAGGCAGCCGAGTCATTTAACATTTGCTGAGACATGATCCATGGCATCAAAAACTATGGATCGAGGAAGACTGAGATCCGTTCGTACGCCTGACCATGAAGAGCACATTCTACGGATCCAGCTATCGACACACGTCAAGTGGCCCTAGAGTGGCGGGAGAACTTTTGCTGATGGTTTACTGCACAAACTGCTGATCTCCTGTTTGTCTCTTCGGTCTTGTTTACGGATGAGCCAAAGTACAATACAGCTTGATATCAGCATCAGCTTACGATTAATGTGTGAACTAGAATAGTAGGTGACTGTCTGGTAAATCCATATGGTCTCCCAACTCTTGTTACAGGAGCTGTTTACAGGGACTTTATTTCGAACGCAGTTCCAAACCTGCTGTTAAAAGCAAAAAACGTATGTGGTTTTAGAACCTTCGGCATTTTTCGTAAAAGATGTTTTTTCTAACGCCAGCACGTTTCCATAAATTAGTATACGAAAGTTTAGCGTCATTTTTGTGATGAAACACACTTTGATTTGTAAATTCTTGCAAAACTCAAATAATTTAATGGAGCTTTTAGGACTTATTTTACAGATGAATTAAATTATTTTATAAATGATTCGTCTTTTCAAAATCTTGGTAAAATCACTTTTTGACATTTTTTATCCCCCCTCTTCCAACTTATTTAGTTTTATGAAATTTCGAGAAATACATTTTTGTACATTTTTATATTATTCATGAGTAAAAATCTTGGTAAATTTAAATCATCAATTTTTGTTGTAAAGCAGGCATCCTAGTTACCCAAAATATGCTCTGAATTGTAAAATAAAAGCTAAAACTAAAACATTATTTAATTAGAAAATCTTTTAATTTCTTTTATTACGGGCTCTATTGTCTTAAAAAAATATTTTTTCTTTTGAATTATTACAAGCAATTTTTCATTTTTAAAAAAATTTAATTCGAATAATTTATAAAGGTTTAAATCTTTTAAAATTATGTTTTACTTTGTAGAGGTTAAATCATATTTATATTATTATATTAATATATTATAATTATATTATATATTATATTATTATAAGTTATATTATAACTTTGATAATATAAAACTATATATATAAATATATAAATGAATATATATAAATATATATATATATATAAATTTTTATATAAATATATATATAAATATATATAAATAAATATATAAATATATATATAAAACTATAAGTTATATAACTTATATAATATATTATATTATATTATTGTAAGTTATATTAATTATATTACATATATTATAATTATATATTATAATTAATATGATATTATTATATTAATATATTATGATATATATTTATATTATATTTATATTTATATTAAGCAGAAACTATATTTACTAATCATAAATGGAAAAGCTTACTACAATTCAGTGACCCCCAGTATTTTAAAAAGAGTTTTGAACTTTTGTGTGTGTGTGCGTGTGTACGTATAAATGTACCGATATTTGTAAATACGGGCGTCCATACATGACATTATCAGAAAATAATAACGGTAACTATAGTAGTTTTAAAACAACGTACCTAAAATACAATAAAACATTAGATTACTTACAATATTTACCTAAATTTTTAAGATTACTGAGTAGTTATAAAAATATATATAAGAATGGCGTTCATATTATAAGCGTCAAGTACTTTTTACAGATATGTTCCCCGTGGAAAAAAATAGTTAAATTTCCGGATGTCAAGCTGTCAATAGAGTTGTCAACGTCTAATAAAAAACCTACGTATGTGTTAAAAAATGCATTTCTCCGACATTTTAAACAAAAAGTAAATAATAATCGAATTGTAACCCAGAAGACAGTAGATAACCACTGACATTGGATTTCAATTTTTGAAGGTCAAAGTTGACTTGAAAGCAAGAAACCAGAAGAGAATTCCACAATCCTGAAGTGCAATTGAAGAAACTGTTAGTATAGAACTTGCGGTTCCATCTAGCCATTCCAATTGTAAAATGATGAGACCTTACCACCAATCTAGTACTGCGCTTAAATACATGAAGTGTAGGTACCATGCAGGAAAGTAATAAGGCCAGAAGTGAGGATAGTGGAAGTCTGGTCTTCAATCTGTCTTATCTTAAACTTATCTAGCCGCAATTACTGACCCAAACATACCACAGTATTTCTTACACCAAAATTTTGTAACCTAGAGAAGGTTACTGAATAGAATAATCAAACGAAGTTTGGTAATGAATGATAATACTTAGGACAAGAACAACACATATAAGATTCGCCAGCGGCGCGTAGAAGAAGTAATCAACTGTTAGAAGTGAGTCAAGTGAATTTCACAACGAATCTTCAACTGCAGGATATCTACCAACCTTCTCATGCGGTCAGATATGGCACAAGGCCGGATTTTAATGTAACGTAGGCTCGGCCAAAAATACCCTGTAGACCCCGTATAAAACGGGGTCCGGTAGCTGTTTCCCGCGGCGAGACTCTACTCTTCGACATAGCCTCATCACGGGATCTTCTCTGCCTCTAGGCAGAGTGTTTGACCGACACAGCTGGAGACGAATCTCCGACTGCAGACCAACATACAGTATTTACTACTGTATCTATGTGAATGGGGACATACCCATTATCGTCCGTAGATTTGATACAACACAAAACAACACATTCTTACTTACTTATTATTACTAGAGCCACCATAATAACTAAAATTATCCCTGAAATCCTAACTAGTTCCAATATGTACAATTTGACCAGCACATCTGGAGACGAATCTACTAATGCAGGATATCTACCAACCACCCCACGCGGTCAGATGTGGCACAAGGCCGAATGTAATGTGGGGTATCCGATTCTGTAGGCTTGGCCAAAAATTCCCCATAGACCCCGGATAAAATAGGTCCGGGTAGCTGTTTCCCAAGACGAGACTCTGCCCTTCGACATAACCTCGTCTGGGAATCCTCTCTGTCCGGAGGCAGAGAGTTTGACCAACACAGCTGGAGATGAATCTCCGACTGCAGACCAACATACAGTATTTACTACTGTATTTATGTGAATGGGGACATGCCCATTATCGTTCGTAGTTATGCTACAAAACAAAACAACTCATTGTTACTTACTAATTTCACTACAGCCACCATAATAACTAAAATTATCCCTAAAGTCGTAACTATTGTCCAATGTGTACAATTTTCTGTGGAGGTGGTGGAAAATAATAATAACAAATAGAGGAAATTCATCAGAATAATTACCAAGAAGGTATTTATAGAAAAGGCAGAGGGAAGCCACGTTAAAGTTGATGAGAATGTATCTGAAGCCGAGACGCCAGCTCAGGACCAATAATATTACTGATTCTTTTTTGGATTTTATCAAGAATCTCTACAAAACACTCACGTGGAAATCGAACTTGGTACTTCGTTTCCAAATTCTACGCCAATACCCGTACCCTACCCGCATATGACCTCTTACGGCGATTTTACAAACCTGAAGCAAGCCATCTAGAAGCACGCGTCAGTTTCTCATTGTCACTCTTTTGATAATGACTTCGTGAAACGTTGCTTTATAGCGAGAAATGAATGTGTGCAATCGTGTTTGCACTTATTCAATCCAAATATATCTTTGTGTGTACGTGTGTTCGTAAAATTCAACACGTGTGCGTATATGTGTGTTCAACTGAACGTACTTATGTGCCCGTGTGAGTGCACGTGTGCGCGTGTGTTTGTCGTTTTGGTGCACTGCGTGCGTGCATGTGTGCGCTAGCACTGATTAACCCTGGTTGTATGTCACTCCGTCCGAAGTCGTTCGGTGTACTCTTTCCCATCCGCGGTGTCTCTTTCGGAACGTTTGTGGACTACACTCATTGCTCAAAACTATGGGCCGACCGCAAATCTGTTGACTGGTGGGTGAATTTGTAAGTAATGTCGATGGGGATTAAAATGGTAAGGAAAAAAAAGGCGGGAAAAAAAGAGAGGATAGAAAGAAAGAAAGAAAGAAAGAAAGAAAGAAAGAAAGAAAGAAAGAAAGAAAGAAGAGTAAAGACTAAGAAAGAAATAAAGTAAGAAGAGAGAATAGATTAAGAATGAAAAAAAGAAGGAAAGAAAGAAAGAGGAGAGTTGAATATAAACTAAGAGAGAAAGAAAGAAAAGACAGAGTAGGCTAAGAAAGAATGAAAGAAAGACGAGAAAGAAAAGGAAAGACAAGAAATAATGAAGAAAAGTAGGCAAAAAAAAAAGAA